GAACACACATGCCGGTGACACTGCCCGAAGGAAAAGCTGGGCACGGAACTGTGGAGGAGCCCTTGGCGTGTGTTGTGAAACTGGAGTCTGCTCCTAGTAGACGGATTGGTGCCTCGTATGGCTTGAAGGAGTGTTCTTCCTTGAGAACCGTGTGAGTGGCCCCACTGTCGAGGGTGAACTCTATTGTGGCTGAGGTGCTTTGTGAGCCGGGACACTGCGAAATTGTCTCATTAATCATGGCAGTGCCAGGGAACAACATATGGAGGCACACATCAGCAGTGGGAGCTACAGCAGCCTGCACGGATTCCTGCGCTTCGACTTGATTGACCTTGCGAGGAGCACGATTGACCATCCAGCTTGGCGGCTTCGAGGCGGTCCCATTGACGGCATACCGATCGTCATCCTTTTTCTTGAAGCAGGAGGCAAGGGCGTGGTTGGTGCCGCCACACACCTGGCCGGCACGAGGGCCGCGCTTGATGACATAGGGACACGGGGGGAAGCGGTTGCGCTGGAATGGCGCCGAAGCGGCATAGGCTTGAGGCACGGGAGCGCGGATTGCATTGGCCTTGGCTTGAGCGCTGTTGTCCTTTTTGGCAGAAAGGAGCGCGGATGAGACCTTGGCAAATGTGAGGTCTGCAGGAGCAAGGCCCAAGAGCATCTTGCGTGTGACTTCGTATGCCGGAGTGAGGCCGACTAGGAGAGCGGCTGCAGGGGCTTGCTCGGGGAAGACTATCCCCAACTGTTTGAGTTCACCATGAATGGACTGCACCTTGGTGACATAGTCCGCCATGCCTGGCGAGTCCTCGAGTCGCACTTGGAACATGCTGGGGATGAGTATAGCAACTCCCACAGCAGTCTTGTTCAGGAAGCGGTCTTCGAGGTAGATCCAAATGGCGTTGGCAGACGGGTAGTTGTGGTAGGTTTCGATGAGTTCGGGAGGAGTGGTGCCCATGAAGACACTAATGACCGCACCATCGGCCTTCTCCCAATTCTTGTACTTGAGCAGTGCAGTAGCATAAACTGCTTCGGCGGCGGCATTAGCTGGATCGGCGGACCTCTCGGGTTTAGGAGGCTCTTTGCCGTCACCGATGTTGAGAAGGACGTCGGTGAGCTCGAGCCCCTTCACCTCACGACTGAGGAGGTGTTTGTCGACACCATAGCGCCAAGCCTTGTAGTTGGAGCATGTGCCATCCGGCTCGAGACGGAGGAGCGGGATCGGGTTGGCGAGTGAAGTGGTTGAGTAAGCCATTGTCGGTGTGCAGCACGGCACTTCTGGAAATTGGTCGACGAGAATTGCTGAAAATCACTCTGACGGCTTTATGTAAATGCCGCTAAGTAGGAAATGGCGTCGGTGAAAATTCGTTAAAACGCCGACTTGAAACTGAATCTGAGCATATGTCTAACCCCGGACCCACACACCCCCCCCACACCCCCAGGCCCTGTCCCGGAGCTACACAGCTCCGCAACCAGCTCCGCAACCAGCTCCGCAACCAGCTCCGCAACCAGCTCCGCTCCGCTTCAACCTGTGTACCTGCTCTTGCTTGACGCGAGACGTTCGTGGAGGCGATTTCGCGAGGGGAGTTCGCCTATTCTGGCGGGGTCTGAGGGGAAACTCGAGAACGAGTTTTAAGAGATGGTCGAAATTGAGATTCGACCAAGGAGAACCGAGGAGGAAATCGACGACGAGAAGCGTGAACGCTTCAGAGATGAGAAATTCAACGAGGTCAAGCGCGAAGGTGGTCGACGATGAGAGGCGCGACTGTAGAGTGGAGCATGTCGAAATTCCGACGACTCGAAACGAATGTCGCGACGATGAAGTGCGCGTAGCGCGGGCACATTCAGATTAGGACCTTGATCCGCGTGTGCGGATAGGTCGCTCTGATACCATGTAAGAAATAGAGTTGAAATGATTGATTAGGTAAGGAGCCCAAGGCTCTATAAGTACATGGCAAGGTGAGAGTGAATGGATGAAGGGGGAATTGGAGGGAATCCCCATTGGGATCTCCGGAATCTCCAATTGGGTAATTGGAGATTGGGGGAATCACAATTGGGTGGATCACAATTGGGTGAGGTTGGGATTTGTGAGTACACCCCAACCCACTAGAACATTCATAACCTAAACTAGGATATAAAAGTACAAATACAAAAGTGGTATTTGCAGTCTATTTCTAACAGAGTCTAGCATGCGCAAGTGGGTGGCTAGGTCAGCGACAGTGGGGAAGGATGCAAGATCAGGAAAGAGCATGGGCAGGATCACGCAACCGACTGAGGCAGAGGGCGAGGTGGAATAGCGCGCGACAGCAGCCTCTAGGAATTCCTGCGATGTCCTAACGGACCTAAAGAGGGGACGCTCAGATAGGGGGAGGGCATGACTGATTGCGAGCTATGCGACAGCGTTACGTGACAATCAGACACCACAGGCAAGGGCAGCAGCGGCAGCGGACTCACGGTCAGCAGACGTGGGGTCAGCGGGCACAGCAGCAGGGGGGTAGGGGCAGGGGAGCGTACCGTCAATGTGGACGGCTAGGGAGTGGCCGTCCTGCCGCTGGCCAGTGAGCTGACGGCGGAGGTGGACAAGCCAACTGTCGAACACGACTGGCTGACCCTCCGCGTCAAAGCGCAGCACCGAGTCCGCCATCAGGGTCGATGCAGCGACAGAGAGACAGTAGGGAGGAAGCAGTGGGGTGTGCAGTGCAGTGCAGTGCAGTGCTGGAGACTGTGGTGCGGTAACGTGCGAGGCAGTGCGGTGCACGGCGGTGCAATGCGGTGGGGTACAGTGTAGCACGGTGGGACACGGTGCAGCGCGGTGGAGTGCGGTGCAGCGTGGTGCAGGAGCAGCAGGGGGCGGCTGGAGGGCGATAGGGCCAGCTGGGCGACGGGGCCGGATGGGCGACGGGGCCGGCGTGGCGACAGGGTCGGCTGGGCGCGGGACGGGCCGGCTACGGGCGACAAGGCCGGCTGGGCGACGGGGCCGGCTGGGCGACGGGGCCGGCTGGGCGACGGGGCCGGCTAGGCGACGGGGGCCGGCGCGGGCCGGCTGCGGGACGGCTACGGGCTGGGCTACGGGACAGGGCCGGCTACGGGCGCGGGCGCGGGACGGGCTGGCTACGGACGGGGCCGGCTACGGGCGCGGGACGGGCTGGGCTACGGGCGCGGGCGCAGGGCGGGCCGGCAACGGGCGCGGGCGCAGGGCGGTCCGGGCAAAGGGACGGGCCAGCTACGGACGGGGCCGGCTACGGGCACGGGGCGAGCCGGGCTAAGGGACGGGCCAGCTACGGGCGCGGGCGCGGGATGGGCCGGCTACGGGACGGGGCCGGCGACGGGCGCGTGCGCGAGACGGGCTGGCTACGGGACAGGGCCGGCTACGGGACGAGCCGGGGTCGCGCGCGGGCGCGGGACGGGCCGGACTAGGGGACGGGCCGGTTAGGGGACGGGGCCGGCTACGGGAGGGGCCGCGCTAGGGGACGGGCCGGCTATGGGACGGGGCCGGCTACAGGACGGCTAGGGGAAACGGGCCGGCACGGGAGGGCGGGCGGCTAGGACCTCCTGGGCGGGCGGCTAGGCTACTCTCTAAGGCACAACCCTGTATAGTCTACAACAACATACTCAGATATGTTTGACAGTATGGTAGTACATGCTACTAACGTTTTTGCTAGTTGTGACATTCTTTTCGAGCAGAATTGAAAGCGACTATAGAGAATAAGCAAGAGAGGGCCTTATCCCATATAAGCTCATAGGATCTAAAACCCGATACATCCAGAATGCCAGGTTCGTTGATTGAACGATGATAATAGAACTCTGACCCGTATAAGTTACCCAAAGGGTCATAAAAAAAAAAAAAAAAAAAAAAAAAAAAAAAAACAGGCCTGATACAGGCCTGACGTTTAAAAAAAACACCCCCTGAGCTGTCGGCTAAAATAAAAAAAAAAAAAAAAAAAAAAAAAACACTGAGGGCTCAGTTTAAAAAATTTGCCTACCCTGATTAGTAAGTGTTTAGAAATCTGGAACCCTGAAAATCCCAGGGTTCACCAAACGCGTTCAGGGTTGCCTTCAAAACGAGGGGGGAATAAAAAATGGGGGGGAAAAGGGGAGGGAATCAAACCGAGGGGAGGGGGAGAGCGAAACGGAGGGGAAGGGGGAGGATGGAAATATAGGGGAAGAGAGGAAGCAAAACGGAGAGGGAAAAGGGGGGGGGGGGGGGGGGGGGGGTTCGAAATACAGTAGAGAGGAATGGGAGAAGCAAAACGGAGGGGAAGGGGGGATCGAAACGGAGGGGAGGGGGGAAGCGAAACGGAGGGAGAGGTGGGGATCGAGGCGAATGGGGCAGTGGCAGATACCTCCTGCGCTTGCAGCGCCATAGGCGAATCGAGGACGTTAATCATACGCGATCATCTAACGGTTGAAATTTGTCGAAACGTTCGCGATTGATCGTGGCCGTCAAAGTTTGATGGACTTTCAGTTGACCACATGGGCAATAACAAAAGTTTCCTTAAGAAGGGGGCATTGTCGCTAGTATCCTTGAAATTTAGGGTTAGGTACATTGCCAGCTGCGAAACCTACGGTACCTTCTTCATATTGATGGTTTGAGCGTTAGCCTTTTTTATGGGTTGTGGGAGTGTGGGAGGGGGGACTTGTGTACAATAGGACTAAGCTGATTTTTTTTGTGTGCTGTCACTGCCTATCAAGACTTAGCTAATTTTTGTGGGTTGTTAGGTGTGTAGGGGGGGTGTCTGTACGACACATGACTTAGCCGATTTTTGTGGGTTGCTTGGTGTGTGAGGGAATGTTTGAGGACTTCACCAATTTTTGTAGGTTTTAGGTTGTAGGGAGATTGGGGACTTCGCCTAAATTTCAGCGTTGTGAGCCAAATGGATGTCGCACTCAGGGTTCGTACGCGATCCTCCCTGAAAACTCAGTATTGGCACAACGCAAACCCTGAAATCCCAAGTGTTAAAAAAATAGCAACCCTGAAGGAGCTAGGGTTAAAAAAATCCCAGCCCTGAAAATTAAGGGTTGGCCAAAAAATACCCTGCAAAATCAGGGAATCAGGGTAAAATACCCTGAGAACGACAGCCCTGGTCTGATACCTGAGATAAATCACCCACTGGATAATCCAGGATAAGCTCATATGATACGCTCATAGAATGCCGGGTACTGTGAACGACCATAGTAGAAGTCTAACCCGTAAAAATGACCCACAGGGTCTTAAAAAAAGCAGGTCCTATACCCGGGAGAACACAGTATGTGACATGGATGCTACACACAAGCAAAAAAAGGTGCGAAAAACAGACTCTCTGAGAAAGAAAGCCTGATAAAAACAACCCAGGCTCCAATGCAGTAGCCTGAGCCGCACCAGTGATAGCTGTACTAAAGCCTCACTTGTGAACGAACATCCTTGCCATCCGTTGCACACACTGCTGCAGCAACACACACATACCTGCAGCCACACACACATACCTGCAGCCTCACACTCATACCTGCAGCCTCACACACATACCTGCAGCCCCACTCGCATGCGCACACAGCTTTACCCTGAAAGGAACAACCGCACGCACATCGGAAGCACGCCCCAAAGGAAGTGCAAGGATTTGCAAGTGCACGCGGTACTAGAGCCATGTAAAACGCCTTTCCCTGAACGCCATGATTTCTCGTATCAGCATTTGCCTTGTCTCAGCCTCTGAATGATTGCTCTGCTACTGGCAGAGACGACCTTGCTGCTGCTGCTGCTGCTGCTGCTGCTGCTGCCACACGGGACCAGCTTTCGCATCACTTCTAAATCAATCCCTCTGAAACCGGACACCTCTACTTGAGAGCCTCTTTCACGCGAGGATCTAACGACCTGGAACCTCATCAAGCCATCAGCCTCACCAGCGGGCTGGTTCAGGTCAGGAATGACAGATCTTAAGACAAACTTCTTCTCCCTGCACGCACACTCCTCCATTGACCTGCCCGCACATGATCCACATGGAGCTTCAGCCTCCGTCCAGTGATCTTCTGCATCACCGGGTTGAAGCGGCTTCCCAGACAGCACGGTGATTCCCATCATCTCCTTGCTCCGAATGTAAGCCGCCCAGCTCGGCTTGTCACTAGAGGGCGATGGAATGGCTGTTGGAGGCGTGGCTGCTGCCGGCGTTGCTTCTGTGGGCATGGCTGCTGCTGGCGTTGCTGCTGCCGGCTTTGATGCTGCCGGCATTGCTGCTGCAGGCGTTGAAGCACAGGGTCGGAATATCCTGAGGCGTCTGCTGTGAGCGCTGTGCTCGGCAGCTCCGTCGCAGTGATGGTCGTCATTACTGGCATCCCTGCGATATCGCTTCTTCACCATTGCTCTTGAAGCATGCTCCCTCACCAGGGCCTTCGCCCAGGGACTGCGCGGTGCCATCAGTGGGCTAGTAGTGCTACCACTGCTCCTTAAAAATTGACCACCAGAGTCACACGTGAAACCCCTCACGCCGAAACCTCTAGGTCACCTTACCCCCTCTTTGGGGCAATTTTTTGCCACCTAGGGTTTTGGGATTTAGCTTCGATGAGCTGTGCAGCCAGAAGGCTGAGATGCTGTTGCTGCCGCCTGCTGCTGCCGCCGCCGCTGCTTCTGCTGCTGCTTGTAGCTGTGATGAGCTCTGAGATGCCGTTGTTGCTGCAGCTGTTTGTAAGGTTGTGGTGAACCAGCCTCCGCAGACTCGTAACATCGGATTTTAAGACTCCTAACACCGTGTTAGGAGAGATGACACGCGGGAATGCGAAGACTGCTGGAGCTGGCAATGGCAATGGTGGACCTGTCCCGCCTGCCGCCATGCCCGGCTGTTTTCCACCAACGCTGAGCTTGCACGGCCGAGTTTTTGCTGCAGAGGTCGTCCTTCGGAAGGCTCGCATGTAGGTTGGAACTTGGGAAGTAGTAGCAGTAGAGGCAGAGGGAACACAAATCTCTGTAATTCGGGAAATCTGGGCCCTGATCGGAAAGCCGTTATTCCAGAATAGTACCCTCGACGATTCGTCGTGATCACTTCTCACCACGGGACCACATGCCACGTGTTTCAGATCCTCAGTCGTCAGCATTTCGTACAGTCGCCGAGTGGGACAGCGTGAGCGGTTAAGTATGACGACATGAATGCAAGCACGCGCGGATAAGGCGGAGGAAGCAACAGCTCCGAAAGCTGATGGAATCTGGCACGATACTCTGTCCCTCGTCGGTTCATCATGTCGGCCCATCAAGTCATGGGGTTACTACTACAGCTTGAGCCCGAGAGAGGAACGCCACCTTTTCGAGCCGCGGGGGCTTCTGTCGATTTGGTATTTCGCCGACTTTCGCTGCTAGAAGCGAGGGATTCCGGGTGAGCTCGTTGGTAACTTTTTTTGTCGCAATAGGGGAAGGTTGGGTGGCAGAGTTCAGATTGCGTATGTAACCACAGTTACGCTGTTTTGCACTGCGACGATCAGAAACAACCCTAAGTGCTGTTTAATTAGCTCAACCAATAGGTCACGAACATGACATTTGCTCACAATTTGTGCGAATTCGATAAGTGTGCAGTTGTTTCGACCGAATAGGGCTCTAGTTCAGTCAGTTGCCAAGGGGTCATGCCATGCTGAGTCATCGAGTCGTTTCCCGTTTGCGGTGTTCCGTTGATTTCCATTGCGCTCGTGTCCTTCGCGGCTTCGCGAAAAACGCGAAAGGTCATTTGGGCCTGGACGAACCGCCCTCGCGACGCCGTCCGAAAATATGTAGCGAAAACCAGAAGGCTGCAACTGCTTCGTCGCTGTCCGCATGTTCATCCCCGCTGTCATGATGACTCAGCACAGTTGCCGGCGCGGGGGACTCTCTCGAAACGGATACTGCCCGTAAACTTCTGCTATTGGGCGAAGGGGTGCAATTGGGATCTTTTTTTGGCAGGGCACTTTGCGGACATCGTCTGTAGTAGGCGACCACTTGCCACGTGCTTCCGTTGTGAGCTTTCGCAACCTGGGATGGGCGCACCCTCTAGAGGAGCATGAGCGAGAGTCGCGATGAACTCCCACCGCTCGGTAAGTGTCTGATCCTCCATATTCACCATTTCTCCTTTTGAGTCCCACTCAAAACTCGCGCGGCGCGGGACTGAAAGTCGCAAATCTGGTAACACAGGCAAAATCGACAATAGAGGGGAAATCGGCACGTGTCCGAAATGATTGCGGTGTAACATACTTTAACCCATGCGGTCACAACAATGTTACCATATTATCGCCGGTGGATTCCAAACGTTTTGAGCGACTTTCGCCTAACATCTCATCTTGCCGTTCGTAATATGATTATTATCCAGCTCACAACCATCAGATTAAAATGAAACCGTCCATATAGTGACACTGGTTACAACAAAGGCCTACGTGACCGAGACATACAACGCTATAACCAGCAGAACACCCTACCACTCACCACTCACGACTGTCGAGTCACACTGTCTGCAACACGAGTCCATCGCTGGACAGGCACACCATGTTGCACTGTCAACCAGCGTGTCTACCTTCCCACAAAATACGCAAAAAGACACACTAAGATTATGCAGCAGGTGAACGCCGCAGAACAACCCCACACAACTAGTAGCGACATTCACGCAGAACGCGATTAAACAAACACGAAAGCACCAACAAAACGAGACGCGGCCAACTAGTGAAACAGATGACAGATGAGAGAGACAGAGGGTGGAAGTAGAGAGACAAAGGGCTTTTTGAGAGACATTGATATAAAACGAGATACGCAGCGTGACCCGCGGCCATGCGCCGCATGCTTAGTATGCGGCTGTCTCAGAAGCCAAGCAGATCGGATTCGTCAGTGTGGCCGTCCAAATCTACCGCCACGCGGAGCAGGCGGTGCCGCGCGGCGATGGCATCAGGGTCATCTATAGCGGCGGCGGGAGTAGGGGGCAGGACGGGCGGGGGAAGATTCAGGTTCAAAGCGTTCCCCGACGCCCTGGCCAACCTGTAGACAACCACCGGATTCCGGATGTCGAACAGGTGGCGGAGGTCGTTCGGGCTAATGCCCGTAGCCTGGGCATTAGCCCACAAGCATCTCCGTGGCCCGGCGCGCGATATGCCTCATGGCCCTCGTGTGTTCGCGGCAAGTGACGATATAGAACGGGGCCTCCCGAGCAGCGGGGAGAGGGTCGACTCGAGGTGGCTCGACGGCGAGAGGGTCGGAACCCTCGAGATCGCAAGTCGGATGGTTCTCGTCGATCTCGAGAAACTCTGACGCTGCCATCGCGACCGGCCCGAGCTGAAGGCGAGGAATACACGCCGCCATGGCCTCCAACTCGGACTGCACCTCGCCTGGGTCTCGCGCAGGGGATTCCGTCTGCACAGCGGCGGGCATCCAGCTCGCGGGCAAAATCCGCGTGTGCCACCAGCAGCGCTCCACTGTGCTTTGTTCGATGGAGAACCATGCGTCATGCAGCCAGACGACCACCTCGCGCATCTTCGGCTCATCCGCTGCAGCTCCGCCGGGCAGCCGCGCGCTTCCCACATCTGAGTGAGGACCGCGAGCCATTTCACGCGGTACCTCGCCTTGGTCGTCGCGATCAGGCCCTGGTCGAGCGGCTAGATGAAGGCGGTCGTGTTTGGTGGCAAATATACAATCTGTAAGTTACTCAGCTTGCGGATGCGAAAGCCACAGAGGTCATCGGTTATGGCACTCGGAGTGGTGATGCGGTGGCTACTTGCATTGTCGATCAGGAGCACGATCGAGCGTCCCTTGGCGAACATGGCTGCGTTCAGCGACTCCATGTACGCCGTAAAAACCTACAGGTAAAAAAAAATTAGGGAGAGTCATCGCGATAAACGGAGGTGAGATAAGCGGTTACAAAATTACGCCACGGCTAATTTGAATACGACTGGTGCAGTCACAAAATAGGAGCACACGTTTGCAACACATGGAAAAACGCAGGAGTTTGATTTGGGTGAGTTTAGATGGCGGGGTGTGTTCCTTACCTCGCTCGTCAGCCACCCTTTCTTGTTGTAACGCCAATGGACCCAGGGCTCGGGATCGAAATTCCCTTCATTGAAATCGTGCGGCCGTCGAACCTTGCTTATCATCATGGGCTTGAGCATCGACGAGCCGTCGGTGTTACAGGTGAAGACAACGGTGACGCGGTCCTTCGCAACTTTGCGACCGGACAGGGTCTCGTCGGTCCACGTGCGACGGGGCTGGAAGGACGTGAACAATGCCGTCTCGTCCAAGTTGTAGAGATCCTTGAGGTGCACACTGACGAAGAGAAGCAGCTCCGGAAGCTTCTGGCGCGCCCAGTTGACAGCGGCCATGTCAGCGTCTTCAGCTTCGCCTTTGCTTGTGAGGCTCTTGAAACCCATGCGGTCCACAGCCTTGTGACACCAGTTCAGGGAGCATTTAAACGAGGATGGAATTCCCAAAATACGCGCAAGACTTTTGGCTTTTATCTGAATAAGACTCAACGTCAAGGGAATACCAGCACAACCGGAATTTCGTATCCAAATCTTTAGTTCGTTCTCGAGGCTGGGGTGGTGACACCCGCGAACGCGAATGCGCTTGTCCTTGGAGGTTGCCGCCCATTTCGCCTCGTTCTTCAAAATCTTACCGACGGTGCTTCGGTCCGGCAAGAGGCCGAACCTAGTGAAGCACCACCGGGCAAGATCGTCAAGGCGAAGGTGCGGATTTGAAGCCGCATGCTTGCATATTTCCCGCTTGGTGACGATCGGAATCTGTGCCCTGCGGTGTATGCGAGGCATTGTCGGAAGTAGAGAAATGGGGTGGTTCTGGTTACGGGGTGGTGGAACGAATGTCCACAGCTGTTTGATAGCGTTCTAAATACGACCTTCAGCTGCACAGCCAAGTGGACGCTCTGCCTCGATCGCCAACATCCAAGGCTGCATGGCCAGAGGGTGTTCGGTTCCAGGCCCTGCCAGCTGGGCACGGGGGGGGGGTACGTAGATGCATATGTGGAGGCAATGCGCGCCATTAAACTGAGTAAATGGACCACACCCGATACCCAAAATCCGACTTTGGGTTCTTTGTGCCCAATGGAAAGCGAGTGTTCACCGCGCATTTCATTCGTGCTTCGCTAAACCACCAAGTCGTATCGCACGCAATCGCAGCTACTCCCCCCATTGGTTGCTTGGAAGATTTCGCCGGTCCATTGGTCACCACGCTGGCTGGATAGTGCAACTGTACAGTTATAGGTGGACACTATATAGGGGGACATAAGCAGTGTAGAACTTCAACCTGGACTGTAGACGTTTTGTCACCTAAAACGGGTGGGATTGTAAATAAGATAAGGTGTATGCCGTCAAGGCCAATGCCCAGTCTGTTGTTGGCTACAGTGAATGACGGTGAGCACGTCTGTTCTACAGAGAGGGGTGGCGTGGTTGTGATGATGGCATCGCCAAGCGTGGATAACATCGGGTTTGGTTGGATCGCTTTGGAACAACCCGTTTGCTCAGGCGAGGGGGTACGATCCCAGGTGCTGAAGACGAGTCATCCCGACTGTTCCGCCAGTTGCTACGCCACGTCATCTCACTTGTTCCAGCTGTTTACGGCTGAAATTTCGACACGCAGACGATTTTGCTGATGTATACTCGATCGAGGCCGTCCATAGCCTCGAGCCACGTTTTCCGTCACGGGGTTGGAAAAAACTTAATGGCAAGTTAAATTCCGTTCGTTTCCGCTCTGCTCCTCCCGTCGTTCCGCTCCCGAACTCCCGAAACGGGACAGGAGCTCCGTTTGTTTTGCTGCTACAGTGGTCACTTGCCACACAGACACGAGTGTGCTTGCTGCCCGGTACGAAAGTGTGCCCGCGACAAAACTGCAAATTGAAAAGCTGAAAAATTGCGACTCTCGCAAAATTCGCGAACCCAACAACCATCGCCACAGCACAACCCCCTG